AGAATAAGAGTTCATTGTATCGTGCAGAAAATCTCCGAAATTCTTCGTCCCTTCTCCACATTCAGTGTTGTGCCCTCACCTGTTTCGCCTGTATCCCGTTGATCATCGAGTGTGACTCAAGCAGGAGTCAGTAATTCTTCCACTTTTCCTTGTCGCGTGCACAACTAACCTAATGCGTTCTGTTTGGTCTAGAAACTCATCGAGCATCACACCTTTCTTCTAGGCTTTTCCTGAAGAAAGCTGACCAGCAGGACAGTGGTCTTCCTGCGCTGCGTTTAGCACCCCGAGGAATCCAGTCACTAACTACTCTTGTCCATTGGTTGTCATTCATACGCATAACGTGCCTGGTCGACCTTATCTTCGACTGTTTGGAGTACAAAGAGGCATTTTTTATTTTTGATCGCTGACGCAGGTCAGAGCTTTGGATCCCTTCCCTTAGTTGTGTTTAACGCGATACTCCTAGCATTGTTCTTTCGACTGGACGTTCAATAAAGCTGAATGATTTTTCATCCTGTTTACGCAACGACCAAGTTTCTGTCGGTCTGAAATCTGAAGAGCGCCGTTCTTCCAGCAACCGACTAATAAACTGAATGCGTTCCAAGGGCTTCGTTTTTTGAATTTGCACCCTTTTCCTCCTTTCCGCGAGGAATGAAATCTTCACGCGAAGGAGGCTATGATCCGATCACGAGAGAAATTTTTGCACAACAGCGACGTCGGTTAGGCAAAAGTTCGATTTACTATAATGTGCCAAACTAAATACTCTATCTAAACTAAATACAGTAGGAATTAACTCTATTATTTAATTTATATAATGCTGAAATTACTTGGGTATCAAAAAATGCTAAACACAGTAAAAAAAAAACGGGCCTTATTTCCCTGACCCCGAAAGAGCCCCCAATTTCGCAGCGTTGGGTAGGACGAGTACGGAGAGGCTGCTAAAATCTCAGGGCCAATGGGAGCTGCCTGAATTTCAAAGAACTACGGTGACGATCTGTACCTACAATGCACGTACACGTGCATCCGAGTCCTCGATAGAAGATTTTTTTAGATTTAGACGAGAACGCCGATGCCGTCGACTCTATTGTCGCATGTTCCGAGGAACAGTTCTTCGCCGGTGGCATAGACGGCGTTGAAAGGGTGGCGTCGTCTCATATCGGCCAGAGCGATGACGTCGTACCTTATCTTTCTCGCTAGCGTGATCAAATCTTCTGTCGAAGACACGAGTGCAAAAGTGTACGTGCAATGTAGGTACAGATCGACGTCTTAGTTCTTCACGATCCAGGCAGCTTCCATTGGTATTGAGATTTTAGCAGCCTCTCCGTACTCGTCCTACCCAACGCTACCGAATTGGGTGTTTTTTGGTGTCAGGGAAATGAAGACTGTTTGCTTTACTGTGCTAAGCCTTTTTAAACCCACGTATAACTTGCTAGACTCTGAACGTGGAGATTGGGTATTCTCACGGGTAGCTTGCCAGTCCTTCCCAGAGTGGACATAGAGTTTATTTGTTGGAGGCGACTCCTAACCGCCCCCCATATACTTCCCTGTCACTTGATTGCAGGTTTTTGCCCGAATTCACTCGCAGAATACAATCCGTATAAACTTGAGCGCACCCACAAACGTTTGCATGAATAAAAAGCTCTAAACCTCTCGGCGTTGGCCAATACGTGAGAGAAGCACCGTACTTTCGACTTCATTAAACATCGTTTGGAAGCGATTAAATGGGTGTCTGGCCTTTACAATGACTCGCTGTAGCCTACCTGTGTATCGAGTCAGTAGGGCCAACCTCCGAGACAAGTCTGGCACCAATTTTCCTACCCCGGAGGGATGGAAGGCTTGGTGAGCCATGGGCGCGGGGATCAATTCAACGTGTGTGTCGCAGTAGCACCTCCAGTCGCTGTGTCGCACGCGCCCTTTTGCATTAATACGCCTCATAAATACAGAAAGTATGTGCCAAATCGGTGCAGCAAGAACAGGGAGTTTATCCCTTGGATCTATCTGCGTTTCAGGGGAACACATGGTCGCTTTTGGTCCGCGATTAACCCCTATCCGCCACCTGGGAACGCGTCACGCAGCTTCGCAACTAATCGCCTCGAAATCTCTCATATGGAGGACCTCCGTGGTTGTTGTGCCATAGATGAATGAATGTACCCAAGGTTTTCAGCTGCTCTTTGTCTAATAGGAAAGAAAATTTAATGGTCCATCCAAACGGAAAATTAACATGCCTCACATCAAGTGAAGAACCTTGAGTTACAAATGAGGTGAGATTAGTCGACTAACAGTGGTTATGATGAGAAATCCTCTGCATGGAAAGAAAAACATTAAATAGCTGCATCGTTTACTTTTTATTCACCTCTCTACGGAATCTTCATGAGACGGCTAGGTGTGAGCCTACGTGGGACTTCTTCATGAAGACTAAGGGTTTACTAAGGAAAAAACGACATTGCACTTCCCCGAGACGCATTTAGTTTTAAGGACGAACATTTTGCACCTGATCGGTAGTGTTGGCTCACAGTGTTTGTTTATACGTACGCTTTCTCGCATCTTCGCTTGCATGTGGACCAGGAGTCGAACAAGAACTTGCAACTAAATGACTGATAAAGGTCTGATTGATGGCTACAGAACAGGGACGTTACAGTAACCGTCGGTACAGTATTCTTTTGCATCAGTCGGCAAACGGATGAAAATATAGAAGTTCAATCTCGGAACTCCCAAAAAAGCTGTTCTCCTCGGATTTGTGTGTGGGTTCGGCTGCTGCTTGAGGACTGGCCTTCTTTTATGAGTGTAGTCGCATGCTGGTCCAACAGATCTTTCCCGCATTGCCGAGGTAGACGTTATTGGGTGCTTCCAAATCAGAGAAAGACGACGGTTTTTGTGGATTACAGACAGCGAAGTGATCTGAGATAAGCCTGATACTAATTTCTCGATATCGGAATGAAGGAAGTCTTGGATGGCGTAAAGCGAGGGCCTTGTACGCGTTGAATGGCATCGCTATCTTGGGGCTACTCCCGATTCCAGGGCCTTATAAGTTGGCAAAAACTAGGAGAACTGCAATAATAGATAACTAGTACCATAACCACCACGGTAGAATTGAAGACCTGGTGAAGCAAGCTAAGGGCATCAATTACAACGTCTTAGAAATAAAGAGGAAGATAAAACATCGCTTGCTAAAAGTCGTCCGTGGTACTGAAGAAAAAATCAAAACATGTGACGTAGCAGAAATTGTGCATTTATTAACAAGAGGGCAGGCTTTGATGCTTGGTTCGATTGAACGACACGATCCCAATCAGACGTTCGCATTTGAAAAACTGTTGACCAGTACCACTTTTGGCAGAGATCGCTGTCTACACTCAATGTTATAAGAAGAATGAGATCCCGTTGTCTTATACGAAAGAGAGGAAAGAACGATTCAAATTTGGACTTTGCGTTAACCGAAGTGCTTCGTTCAACTGACATCGCTGACATCTCAAAATTATGCACGTCGTTAGACGATCGCCTCCGCACAAGATTCCTCTTTCGGCAAAAAGGAAAGAAAACCGCGCATTTCAATAAACAAAATTCAAAACACACCATAGGTTTGAGTTTACGAGGACAAAGAAAGATTGTCGAGACCTTATGTCAAACGTTCGAGCAATTTCATGTGTTGAGCTGCTCTTCATGGGGATATTGAGTGAAGCTGTTCATGCTAAGGCGACGCCATAACTGCCCATCTTTTCATACATGATACCAAGATAATCACTATCCTTTGCAGGTGTAAAGCATTTATTGTATTACAGAAAAAACAAACGAGAGGTATCAACTTGAGATAAGGTCTGAACATTTGCAGAACCAGCACCTAGAAGTCCTCGAACGCTGACCCAGATTTTCAAACTCTAGATGTCGGATGGTCGCATCTGATTAATCGAAGACCAAGACAATCATGCTGATACATAAGGATCGGACCCCAACATGACAACAGTGACTACTCAATCGGATCACTTTTTGTCTTCTATATGCTCCATTCATTGAGTTGTCCTCAGTAGTGGTTATAGAACATTCGATATAGGACAGCTGTGTGTGTGAACCCGCAAAGTTTAGTAAACGGTTGGTGATATGGAGCATCACCTCACTTTATAAAACTTTTGAAAGGTTACATAATTGTGAAACACTTTCGCCGTTAACTTCATTGAGTTAGAGAGCACTTTTGATTCAATCAAGCCGGAAGCGACCATGAATCCGGGCGATGGCGCAAAAAAGGGTGATCATGATGGCCGATAACGAAAATTTTTTTCACCAACTAGCTTTTATGAACTAAAACAAGGTCGCTAAGATGGTTAACTCGCTTTTGATCTTCGATGGCTGACATATCGGTCAGCTCAAAAAGGACAGTTCGTAGGATAACTAAAGTTAATTAATGGAGAGCTTTATCTAAAGTCAGTCTTTCGACTCTTTATTTCGTTAACGGCACCGTCTTCAAGAAATAAAAATTGGTCAAGCAGATAAATTTTTGTTGAATTTGTAGATTTTGAATCAATTTTTGAATGAATGAATTTTTGTTGATTGCGGCGGTGCTTGTAAAACGACCTGTTTTTGAATTTAAGAAAGTTATGCTGTTGAAAAAAGAACTAGACCTCTTTGCCGCGCTTAACCAAGAACGAATGTCTTCAATCATATCTTCACAATACAATGAGGAAACATTTTTTTCTTCCTTCACAGCTTTTCAAGTTTGAGCTTTCCTATAATATATATCTTGGAATCGCAGAAGTATGCAAGTAACGTGACAGAGCGGTCAGCGTTACCATGCGCATGATGCGCATGATACTAAAAGAATCCCGCTTTACACAAGTGAGAAAAAATCGGTGTTCCGACCAGCGTCGATAGTCGATGAACAAAAATACTGCAGCTTTCAAAGGATTAAGGTTGGGTGGAAGACACAACTCATTTGTCCCAATCGGAAAACGTGAGACGCTAGCAATTGCATCCAAACAGACGTCAAAAGCAGAGGCAAACGTTGAAATTCTTCATCAAGACACGGAACGAGAAATAAGACGTCTTCCGTGCCTCGTGGCTGCGTAGGACCGATTGGGCAACGCTAACATGCGAAGGGTTTCAGTGTAGAAGACGACCAACGTCAACGAAGGCGATCGATCCTTGGTAGCAAATCACATGAATCTACTCCTCCACCCGTTTGCCTTTTTTTGTTGTGGGCGAAGCTGAAACTGATCTATTGTTTGATAGGGAGGCTTATAATTTGCCTTGTTTATGCATATTAAAGAGAACCATAGGAATCAACACATCATAATACACACGTGTCTTACTTTTAATTTAAGAACTTAAAAAGCAGTAGTGGCCGATCAGCTGCATGGAAAGAGCAATCGCATGCTGAACAAGAGGAAAAACAAAAAGGAGTTTTAACGAAGATCAGTGAGATGCCAACAAATGAGGGGCATTACGAGAATAAGTTCTGTATGCAATATTATTTTGTAGATTAAGGAAAACCGAGATAACGGTATTCATATTTACTCACATAGCCGGATCGGAAACTTTTCGACGAAAACGTTCGCTGAAGGACGTTTCGCTTGATATCGTCCTCGGATAAAAAGCCGTCATTTGATCTAAACGTTCAGGAATTTTGCTGCGTCAGATACGATAGCAAAGAGTTAATGTAAAGTTAACCGTAACTGATAAGTTAAGAGCTCTTAGGTTAATAAAACTGTAGAATTTCATGAAAATTGTTCTTGCCGATGAGGATGATGATGGTATTCTTTTTCAGATATCTTGCAGATGACGGGACTCCTTAAGGAGACCCGCTGATCTGCTGAAGAACTTAATGTGGCCCAATGAGAACCTACTTCTACTACATTGAAATTAGGGGCATGCTGACTACATCAACGACAAACAACAATGTATTTTAGTCAAGCTTTCGCCATCTATAACTGTAAAACCACCGACAAAGCACAACAGTCGGAACCTAGCACTGCTTTCCGACAAATTCTGCTTCTCTATCCTTACAAATAGCTTTCGATATATCCGCCACTTTTGTTTCATGAAGATACTAGTTGCTTCTCTTCATTGCCTGTACTTTGAGATGCTTCCGTTATAGTGTAGCTTTGGTGTAAGATTTACATCACGGTGTTTTCGTTATTTTTTCTGTACTTTCACGGAGATAAAGAGATTTCTCACAAAATTGTCTACAGTATTTTTTCTGTACTTTCAAATAGATGAAGGGATGTCCCACAAAATCGTTTAACTTTTAACCAGTAAACCTTCACCGCAGGAAGTGTCTAATACCGTTTTCAGCTTGTTCATGAATGTCATCAATTTTTTCGGCAGTTCAAGAAGTTCCTTGTCATGTCGAGCTTGTGTTGGAGGTTTTGAACATCGAGGTTTTTCAGTGTTCTATGAATCCTAATTCTAATCGTATTTAAATTTAAAAGAATACTGTATAGAACTTGTATAAACGAGAACGGCTACAGCGCAAAATATCTTTTACCTTACGAAAAGATCTTCAAAACACAATTTACTATAATTTCTTCTGTAGCTCCTGACCTAGTAAATACTCGAGGATCTACAGATCATTGCCAGTAGTCCAAAAAAGGGCTCTGGGCATTACGTGTTCAAAGTAACGTTTGTATCAGAGAAATTAATTGATTCGTTTTATCATCCGTTTGCCAACAGTGCTAATTCTCACTAGTCATTTTTAATGGCCTTCTCAGTGTGGAGGCGAATTCTGAGAAGAACCACGCCGTCAAATGTTCGCATCACATTACCAGCCAATTCGCTGTAGAAACCAAGGTGGCGAAGATGATAGCGGCTCCAGGTAACGAATTGTCAAAAACGTAAGCAACATAGAAATAGGCCACCCCGTGCGATGTATACAGCAATGAATTGGTCTTGAGAATCCGACCGATGTTTGGTGGTCAGGAACGTCAGCCACGTAAAATTGTGAAAAATCGTTGTATTGTGACAATCAGGATAATACAGACGAGCACAGTGTATGTTGTCAGATTTCTCACCAGACAACTGACCAATTAAGAGTGTTAAGAAATCGTTTCAAAAATAATACAACATGTAAGAACAGTCAAATGGCGCATACCTTGGCCTTTTGTTTTCGAGTGTACCAACAACGGCCAATTCAACTATTGAGAGGAAAATGTAGCCCACACAGCCGAACATGAACAAATCCAGACCTTTCACGTAAGACACCTCAATAAAAAGGGTTTCATTCTAATGTGTTCTTTTAAAATTGCTTTTCTATGTTTTCATTTTACGTACAAGTTGTGCGGTGATTGTATGATTGTAAGTCATAGAAGGCATAGTAAATAAATCATTTTCTAAATCACAAATAAACGATACTTTGGCCAGAAGGCCAGGTTTCTCTGGCACCTATTGCCTTTGCGCGAAAGAAGTTGAGCAAATTAGGGTTAACAAATGTTTCCAACATTATCATCGTTGATCACATACAGATGAAGTCCCAATTCATTAACCCCAACACCTATAAGGAGCGGTATGACCGATGGCTTCAAATACCCACAGAGTCATGCGTTAGTTCAATCGCCCATTCCATTCCAGCTAACAAAGCGTCCAGCCCCTCGTCAGCGCCAACAAATTGGATGTAGACATTTCTCTTGGAGGATAAAAGCACTGAAGTGGTATATATCGGTAGGCTTCTTAATGGACTCGAGTGCATGGTGCATTCCTCAGATATTGATCAACGCCGAAAACACTGCTCTTATTCTTCTACTACCTAAGATATCCAACTAATACCCGTCGTGCGAAGGAGATCATGCGGTTGGAAAACACGCTCTGCTCCTCTTAACATTTCCCACAAGATCCAATTCGAAAACCCATCGATATCATAATTGGCGACGATAAGTGGGCTTTATTTTGCGATTAGCGGAGCGCATATTAGCTAACAACAACTCTATGTTCAATCAATTAGTTATTCCTTATATATTAGTTTGTTCCAAGGGAGAAAAATGGAGCAAGTCGTAGAGAAAAGGTCGATAAAATAGTAGTTCAGCTCTTACCTGTGGGCTATCCATTCCATTTACTCTAGAAAAAATAAAGATAGCAGTGCTTACCTTAGGCAAGCTCCTAGCTACGTTGCTGTACTGTAGAGTGAGCGCCATGAGAGATGAAACGCCAAGCGTCACTCTAGCCGGCAAACTCCTACGATCCAACCAGAACGAGATCCAGCTGATGAGCACCTGAATGCAATACTTTTCTGGGGGTTCATCCTGACTCTTGAACTGACGTCTAGCAAAGGCCTGCAAAAACCTATGGCATGCTCGTAACCGTGGATATCCAATTATTTTATTCAGACTTTTTAAAAATGTCAATTAATGGTAAGGATAAATAATCAGTTCCTTTCTCGTCTTTAATTAGCAGGGTTCTAATACGATATACGATACACAAAGAACTTAAACGGTTTTTAAATAATTTTTGTAGCAACCTTCTGAGTTCAAAAGAAGGAGAAAAGAAATCAGTGATTCTGCATAGTGGTAGGTAGTTAGAGTAATCCGTTCAAAGCTGGAATGTCAGCGATAAATGGTAAACTTGGACTTCCAAGTTGAAAACACTCACCATGCAATAGGTAGGGAGGTAAATCTGAAGTAGGTAGAACCCGTATGACCGACGAAAGAACAGTTTAATATTAAGCTGAAAACACGAAATAAAAATTACGAATGTTCATAAGGGTACAGTCTATCTGATCTCTTGTAAAGCGTGCGAGGAAGAATACGTTGGCGAAACGGATAGACTACTCTGCGTCCGTATAAAAGAACACCTAGTCGGCAAACGTAAACCAAATGCTCCACTAAGCACGCATAGGACTCAGAGACGTAACGGAGAAGATTTTGAAGCAGGGGATACGATGCTTGCGCAGAAATCGAGAGCACAAACGCGCAAAACTCTCGAGGGATTCTGGATTAATTCCAAGAATCTGAAAATAAACCGCAGGGAGGAATGTCTCATTATCACACGTGATATTGGGTAGTATATAAGATTGTTATTCTGATGGGAGGGGCACATTGCGCTTCCATGTGAATTCTGTGCGGTTGGTCTTCGCGCGACATACTCAGTGGAAAACTCATAGAAAGTGGTGAGTGTGCAGAGCTGTGTTCATTGTGATTGAAATCTTGGTTTAGCGTTTTCTTTGTTTGGTTATGGAGATGTTTTGCAGTGTAGATTTAAGTCAACTTAACCTTTCCAGGCTCTGACGAAGGCGAAATCCGCCGAAACGTCAGCTTGTACGTAAATAAAGAAATAACATGATACCACGTGTTTGCTAAACAGAAGTGGAAAGAAAAATGATGAATGTTTCCCTCACTTACATTTGTTGTTACCTTAGGTAACAACTCAAAAATCAATGACAATTGTTTGTTCATATTCATTAGCCTAATTTTTCTTCTTTTTTCTTTATTCAAGTTTATTTGTCAACAAAATCGAAGTTTATTTCCTCATTACCGAAAAACTTCATCGCCTGGGCAACGCGCCAATCCGCAGTCATCTGCAAGCTCTCACCTGATCCCATACCCCAGCGGGATATTGAAATGTTGCCTTTTCATGGATGAATGTTGTCATGTGGAAATCTGGAAGTTTCACTTCATCGATGAATTCCACTGGCTGACCTTGCCGTTTCCAGTGAAGTCGCACCTGTGAAGGAGATACGGTAGTGAATACGGAAGTGCGGAAAGTGTTCCAATAAAACGAATAACAAACGTGCAGTCAAATTTGAGAGATTGAGTTCTACTTCTCAGAACTTGCAACATGATAAATTCACCTGTTAAAAGGCGTAATCTACGCTAGGGGGTTTAAGCCACTAAGAATAATTGAACACATGGCACTCGAAGACGGTTTTTAGACAGCTGGTGACAATACCTCGTCCAGTAGAGCGTTTTAAGAGATGAGAAGTAGACAGATTTACGGGACAAACTTTACTCTGTTTCCCAAACATATACACTACTGTCTTAAAAACATTGCGAAGCTTTTAAATAACTCTTGGGTCAGAATTCTCAACGAGTGAACGTAAAATTTGGGTTTTTAAAATCTTCAATGCAAGCGCTGCATCTGAAAAAACGGAGGATACGTTGAACAACACCATCGTGCCGTGCTGCTCGCTTGTTCGATGGGTTTCATACTCGAAAGACAAGGATATGGGAGCCTCAACGAATAGAAGCAGAGTAAATGTGTATCGCGATCTCCACTGAATCAGAGTTTTGTCTAGAGAGAATAAGATAGCCTATATTCTGCACTCATAGAGCCCAAACGTTTTTGTTTGGTTCAGTAAAGACCAAAATAAACTAAGATTAATCTTAACTTATTATTTACTGTCCACTCTTTTTAATGGTAGGGTATATTGCGAAATATAACTTTAATGATGCTGAAGTATTTGTAACTGTGTTTGTGGCCGATTTGGGCTTCCCAGATAAATCCCACTAATGGATGGTTGCTGATCGCTGTGATCGACAGAACTAGCTGAGAGACACGCGAAACGAAGGACCCACATGGTGTTGTGGTGAATGCGTTACTACTTGGAAAGGACTATAGCGCGTTCGTTCTCCACCGCAGATACCTGCTGTCCGGAGTTTTGCAAATATCTCAGCATCATTGAAACTAAGATTAGTCGGTTCAAAGCTCGGAGCCGTTAATGGAGTTACGTCAAAAATTCATTATATTCAACATATATCTGGCACTATAACTTAAAATACTTAGCAGTAAACTCTTTAGAAAGCTCCAGTGAGTTTGATGTGATTCCAACCGTTTCGTCTTAGTATCGATTTCGAACACTTCTGACCACGAACACAGCTGAATAAGAGGTGGCTGTGGTGGTCACTAGGACCAAATTCATTCCGACCTCGTCGGCATTTACTACTGTGGTGTCGGACAGCACATCAACAATTCTTGTTATCGTACCTTTCCAACATTGAACGAGTAGCTTTCGAAGATTGTCGTACACATGACACGATCCATCGGAAAGAAGCTGAAACGCCACATTTATTGTGAAAATATCATCAAAAAAGTGATGTGATAACGCAAAACTTATAAAAATTAGCATTTCTTTATTGCTTCTTTAAAATCCTAGAAGCTGGATTAAGTAGTACTCACAAATCCCGAAATCTCCATTTGGTTCCTAAGCAAAAAAAGTGATTCAAATGGCCTAAAAGCTCAAATTCTGCATCTTCCTCAACATCTGGATCTTACTATGTAGCTATGTACATTTATACCTTTAGCAAATAAAACAGCACAAGTTACTAGTCGGGGCCGTCGCATGTAAGGAATATCAAAACTTCCCTAAGTGCTTACTCTACAAGTAATCGTGAACGTCATCTCCATGGTGTTCTGTTCTAAATTGTTACTTGGAAAACAAAGGTGTATCAATACACGACATAGTCGATTGCGTTCTTGTTGTTAACTGAGGTGTTCTATGTCCAACACGATGTTAGATCATCGCGAGCTCCACTTGGATCAGATTTCCAGGAAATTCGACCACCTAGTGGCGGAAACCCTGCAAGATTTTGCAAAACTATAAGATAAAATCAAAAAACGTACGTGAAATCCATTTCGCAAGGCGATTCGACTACTATCCTATAAAAAAGAACTTGAAGTGGAAGTTCAAACAGATGAAACAAGAATTGCAATGATTTTCATATTTTTCTCCAGCCTCCACTTATTCTTGGTTGGCTCATGCGTTAGAAGCAATGTTATGGGTCATATTTGTTCCAAATGTTCACGAATTTCTCCAAGACGAAAGTCAGTCCTGTTTTTTAACTGATCGAAATTCGATAGTTTAGCTCACTAGTTTACACTGGTTCAAGTAATGCGACGCAAATGTGTGACGCGCGTGACTTCGAACTCAGTACTGAACTTCAGAAAAACCTTTTTTGTCACTACAAATGAAAGCGAAGAAGGAACTCTCACCAGTTTTCGCTTATTTTCACATGGATGTTGCTGAGATGAAAGGAACCCTTACGTTGACAGACCGAACGTAGGGAAAAATGCCAGCTGATTCGAAAAAACCTACCGATAGTTCATCCAGACCGTTCCGTTTGGAAAAATTGCCAGGAAGATGTTTGGTGTTGGACTTTTGTGGATGACCGAACCTAGACGACCGAGCTTAGTACAAGTTAGTTATACGGAAAGTTCTCGTTATTTTTGGCGATTTTTATTTCCACCATCACTATGCGCTGACAACATTTTTGGAAGATATTCAGCAAAAGTGCGTCAGAAGTAAAATTAAATTGAGAAACTGAAGATTTATTACGAGACGTCTGATGACAACAGAATCCACATTTTTGACAAAAACTTGTTTCATGGACAACAACGATTACCGAGCGTTTTTCAAACGAGAAGAACTTACTGAACAAATGTGATGAGGGTTGCTGAATTGGTAATACTCGAATCTCAAAGCGATATGAAAATCGATAATTGATCAATGATTTAAAGGTTAGGGATGTCAGTTTTGCTTTCAGAGTGGAACATTAATTTCGATGTGGTCGTTGTGGAAAGTTGAGCTTAGCGCTTTTTTAGATGATAAGGTTTCCTTTTCAGCGTCGGCAAAATGTGTTTCTATTCAAGTTATTTTATGCATCATCGTGAAATATATTGCACAATTTGTCTCTTACCAGGCTGGTTTTCCCTCATTACATTTAAAATCGCTATTTTCTGTCCGAAAAAGGTTTTCGAATGGAAATTCAGTCATTTGCAAAAAAAAGAATATTAGTATAAAAAACTATATTGGATTAAGAGACGAACATTCATTATATTTGAAAGAAAACAGAGAGTAGTATGCACCTTTGCTATTCACAATACAAACGTTCGGCAGCCAGATGTTGTCGACCATTCTGTGGGACAACGAAAGGTTCGTCAAGCACTGCGCTCCCTCCTCTTGCTGAAAGAGCAGCCTGACGTTATCGATACGGAAGAAATCATCAAATTCTTAGCAAAATAGGCTGAGCTTTACGCATTTAGCTTTATTACGACTAAACGTTGGATAGTGCAGCAGGTTCGAGATTTTACCAAAAAGGTCCCTTCTTCCACAATTGCTGATAATTTTTTCCATAGTTAGAGGATTGAGAAGATTTGGAAGTTGACGAGCTTATCGAAAAGACTTCGCCCTATCGTAAAACTGATAAAAACTAGATTATTATAGAAACGAAAGAGGAAGTAGAAGAAAAAGGCGAGAGAACGAAATATGGTTCAACAAAAACAGGCAACGAACGGAAAGAGTCGTGAGCTTTAGAAGACAAGAATTTCATTGTAGTGAAATGAAAAAGTCAAAAAATTACAAATCAAAGAATTTATCCAGATTCTGCTCTCTGTTCCAAAAATGAAGTCGAGGATGTTTATTCAAAGGTTTAGGACGAAATTATTTTCGACTAAATATGAGTCATATTTAAACATAGGGTCTGGGTTGCTTCGGCCAAAAACGAACGTTTAGTTAGCAGATCATATCCGAGCTTGCATCCAATCCACCCTCGCTGTAGAATTCAATACAGATTTGGCGAATTGCAAAGTGAAAATCGATCCCTTTTTATATGTGGTTTTGACTAACCACTGGAAACTTCGCAAAATAGTGGATGGAAATTGTAAAGCATACATTAATTTCCTTATAACAATAATCGATTCTCATTAATCTACTGGCTTCCGCATGACTTATTTGGGCATTCAAGGCCCGAATTAATTCATGTTTTCCAAGCATTTTAGTGAACGTAGAAAGAACTTATACCTCGTACGAAAGGCCAGGATCGTGCCATATCTGACTGAAGAGGATGTGCATGGTGGAGGCTGATTGAATTTCGGAAATTTCGGAAACACTCTGAATGAGAAGCTCGACGTCCACGTCAACACCTTTCATCTTCGGCACCAGATTCCGGTCATACTTAGAGAGCAACTCGGTGAGGATTCTAAACAAAAAAAATTTAGAAATCCTAATAACAAAGTTCTTTCTTTAAATGAAAAAGTTCTTCTTGTTTTAGATGCAATGGGATTCTTGCTTGTAAAAAACCTTTCCTCTTAAAAGAAATCTTCCTGAAAGTCCATGACTCTGGTTGAAGTCATTTGTTAGGTTCTATTAGAGTGGAAATCATCTGTTAGGTTGCACTCTACAATCATTCAAGAGTCCACAGCGAGCTCCACAAAAATGTACTTTTTTCTGTCTGAATGTCTTGCAAACACGCCGGTTGTTCAAATTTGCGTGGCTGCCTCGTGAGACGACAGCTGATCCATGGAGTTTACAGAGTTCCTGACTTTTTATTTTTCACAATGGGCAGCAGTAAGTACAGAAATTGAGGAGTTGGCATCAAAATAGAATTATAGAGGAATCCTTGCTCTTTCGCTGTGAAGGGATACCTGGTACGTAAGCTACTACTCGCTATATGCTACTTTGCCCTAACGTATAAGTGCAATGTTCTCAGCACTAGGAAACGTTTTAAAAGCTGTCTCGGTTTTATTTCTAAGTTTTCATTTTGCCAGTCTCACAATATAACCAAAAAAACTGAGAGTTTAGCCTTTCATAGGTCAAGATTGACGTAATATGGGGGTGAGACAAGACATCGACTGAGTGAAAAAAGTGCGGTTACAAAAGAGACTTTGTAAAGGGAATGAATTGGATGATAGGCACTTTGTCCAATTTGAGACTTACGATTCCACAGCACACAATGTATCTCAGGTGATATGGGTTAAAGGTCGCAACTAGGTCTTCCGAGGTCGCTGAGGACTTCGAAATTTTATTCTGTTATCTCGACGACTTATAGACACGGCAGAGGTATAGAAATGTTAATGTAGAAGTGGAAAGATAAACTAATGGAGGTTTCAAGTAAAATATTCAGATAATTATTTAAGCTCAGAATTTCGTGCTTATTTCAGTGAAAAAAGTGAAATGCTATAGTATTTGAATAAAGGAATATAAACGAGTTGAATATGTGAACTGCAAAATTTGTGCTCTTCTTCCCTCTCTCCGAAGTTGATCAACATCGCCATGGCGTTTTATTAGAACCGGATTTTCACACAGCCTCCCTTTTATGGTATTTTGGTCGTAAACGAAAGAATTCCGAAACCTTTGTGTAATAGAGAGAATACACCATCACAACGGCAAAATAAAGAACTCTCAGTATAAGGAAATTCCCAGGGAATGTTCAAGCCTTTTGGTGGAGTCGCCCAGAAATACACATTTGGTTCGATCCTGCATCGATCGGTAAATTGGTTATTGTGGAGAGCGAATAGGTATTCAGCCACGTCAGAGATGTTCAACAGTCGATGCACGGCGCATCCCAAATGGATTGATCACCGTCTAACAGTTTGGCCTGCACACTTCTTAAGGAAATTAATAGTGACATTTATTGCCCAATGAGCTTGATATGACAATGAAACAGAATTTATCCAACGGTTTTTTGAAGCAAAAAGCTTGAAAATGATGAGTTGTCTAAGAGAAAGAGGAAATTTACCGTGTAGCTGCCTTCTCTGCTTGACCTAGGACGCAGAACGGCTCCTCCGATGGATCGCGCTCTATGTTCCCCGGCGGATATCCCACAACTAAATCCAGAAATGTCACCAAGTGTGTGCTTCTAAAGTGACCGAGTGAAGCTCACCTTGGCAAGTACCGTTGGGAAGTTGTTGGAAGCCATCACGACAAGCGCAACTTCTCACGCCGTTTTCGTAGATTTTACAATATGATGAACGTAAATCACATTTTTTGCATTCTATAATAAAAACAATAAGAATGAGCTGTTTGACCCTGTTCTAACATAAGTCCTCGAAACGGTAGCAGTTTGTTTTTTAAGAGAGTGGAAGGTTTTCGGAAAACCTGCCCATATTTCATCGGCTTTATGGGAAAATTTTCGCCTGCAAAGAATTAACGGAGGGTCTTCACCCTTTTTTGCTGTATTTTTTCGTATTTAGCAGTGAGGATTGGATAAATAATTACCTTCGTCTAAGGCGGCCACTAGTGAAACGGTGAAAGTGAGAATAAAGCTGAAAGCCATGGCGGCTATAACCCATGCATAGCGCTGTAACCTGTAATCAAAGTCCAAGGTGTTGATTTTCTAAGCACGACTTATTTTTTAAGCGTCAAATAATAAAAGACATAGAAATTTAAGCGAGTATCCGACGTAATATAGTATCTGGATGTAACAATATAACTGTTTAAAAAGTAGTCTTCTCCGAAAACGAAAATACCAAATTTTGAAAAGAGTCGACTTCGGTTCGGTTATGACGGGAAGATAGAAAGCCCAGTCTGGATAATTAAATTATTCTTTTAGAAGCGATAATAATAAGAACGTTGATTGAGAACGGTTAATTGCAACCACAATAAAGAATTAAATTCGTCCTCTCTCTCAATCGGTTCGGTCTTCCATTGGAGTGGCCATCGTCAGGAAGAATCCGTGCCACAAAAGTAGCAAACTTCCCAGCCGGAAACCACTCAAGGAGATACTTGGGAGAGGTTCAGCACCTCTATGTCGGAATTCCTGCGAAAACAACACCAGACCACCATTCACGATTTCGATAAAGAAAGAAGACCGAAATTCTCAAGGTGAACTCCAAGCATGAACGCGACCACCGCAGCCATTTTGCCAAAGCATCATCAGCGCCAACGCAAAAATGAGCACATCAGAAGCTTCACTGTAAGAGATGTGTTTGATTTGCTTTTTCACGGATAATTCAACGGCCTTCGTAATTTCATCGAAACTTATTCCAGAGCTATTTAAACTGATTGCTTTTATTCACTTGTGTGTTTCTCACCAGAGGCTTTCGAATGGTAGTAATTTTATCTTGTATAGAACGTTCATGTGAAAAAGAAATGAATGATCTTGAGTTCATGCGTGTATTTCTTCACATTTACTGATGGCATCCCCAAAGTAAGGTGTTCGTAGCTGAGATATGGTGAAAAACGGTGGAACACATCGCCTACTTGAATCAGGAGCAAAATGAGAGATTTCAAAAGCAAGGCGATATCTGGTTTTGAGCGCTTAGATAGTGTTCATCTACTGCTCATTGACAACCATGGCATATTCATGTCCATAATGGAAATTTCTCTGTGAACAAGGAGAAAACACCAACAAAAGGTTATCAACACACAGAGACTGAATACATTGACTTCTACACACATGCTAAGAAGTGAATTGCTCCTCTGAAGCTTAAATCAACATCTCAACTTGTAATGGACTTCATCAACTAAATTGCCGAAAAGTTGGAGCTCTTTTATTTTAACGCAGTGAAATTGAGGTCTTCTAGAGTACACGAAGCAGATTTCTTCACTTTTTCTTCGTAAAGGCTCATATTTCACGCACCAAGGAAGCAAAAAAATCGTGGTTTCGTTCAGGAAGACTTGATGGTGCTGTGGTGCTCCCCAACGTGTTGTTGGTCTTTATGACTGATTACTTGCCTTGGAGACGATCAGCGTCCAAATATCATCTTCAATTCTCCGAAAATTCCAATGTTAAGATTAGTCGAAGTTGAAAAATAATGTGTAAAATTTATACATGCGACTAAGGCGATACAGCAAAGTTTTCTCTATTAGCTTGTAATGTTCTTAATTTTCAAGCTCTCTACTGATCGAGGAGTCATCGTCATTCATCAAAAAACCCGTTTCTCTCTTTGTGTTGTTTTGGAAAATGAAGTAGAAGACCCATCTTCAAAGCCATGGTGGGTGGGCTGGTGTAATCATCAACTATAACTATATGTGACTATATTCAGCTGTTCTAATCTTCCTCACTTGAAAGTTACGTAAAAAGCGGCTCTGAAGAAGGCGATACTGCCGAAACGTCAGCTGCTGTAGCCTAGTAACTATTTAATAACAACCTCGTGTCTGCTTATTGAAGAAAAACATCGAATTATCAATCAATGCCGGGGTTAACAGAAAGTCTTTCTGAAAAAGTAGAAGACCGTCTAGTTTGCAATAAATGTGCTAAAATGATACGTGAGGCGAGTGTGGTGCAGTGGTCGGAGGCGCCTCGCCAGACATACATGGGATCAATCTCCGCTCCCAGGCTCACCAAGTCTTACATCCCTCCGGGGTCGCCAAATTGGTGCCAGACTTTTCTGGGAGGATAGCAGCACTGTCTCGAAACATCGGAAGGCCAGAGCGATTCATTGTAAAGGCCAGATATACATTCAAACACCTCCAGCGATGCTTAGTGAAATCGAACGCACTGCGCACCCCTCTGAAATTGATCAACGCTGAGACCTTTGTCCTTTATAGCTTTAAGGTGATGATCCGTGATGATGTTCACCTTCATTAAAGTGCTCTCAATTTCTTGGATTCTTCAAGGTCTTGAGCAAAAAATTCCACCCCTTCCCAATCTTTTTTTGGGATCACATTTTAACTGCTAGTTATCTTACGTGTATTTGCGTGTTATATTGCTGAGATCTTCCGATCGAAAAGCGGACGTAACGGAATCCAGTGAAACGAACTACGTCAGCATTTATAGCAGAATAGCTGGAAATGTTCAAAAAATCATAAGTAATTTTTGAGCCAATTTCGTAGTGATTCTTAGAGGAGTTATTAGAAACGATTGAAATTTCAGGAAATCTCACATGGTCGGAACGTTGGAACTGTAAGAAGTCCTGCGCTTTTCAGGAACACTTAAGTGGTCCAAATGGGACAAGTGAAGAAATTTCAGAAACAAGACGAGAGAGAAATACAAATAATTGGAAAGGCACAGATAAAACCACTACAAGGTGAAAAAATAGGCGTAATCGTTGCTAGTGTGGAGAAGAAAAGAGCATTCTTCATGAAAGGAGCAATAAAGTACATCATGTTGGTCGACCTAGCCCTCAAGAAACCAATGGAAGCTTATCATTCTCCGAGCTTCTGGCTTTTTCAGAATCATCCCCTCACAATTAACCTGCTTATATAAACGATAAGCGCTAATGCTTCATGACCGAGAATTCTTCATTCCGTTCTAAAGATCATAGTGGCAAAACGAGCTTCAGGAAAACGGTATAGCAACGTTTTCCAGTAATAAAAAAGGAGTAGTGATTCTAAAAGTTATAGCAATCACGACCAGGAGAAAAGTGAAGACAAAGTGAAGAATGAATAAAAGTGAGGTGAAAATGAAGACAAACTCAAATGAAGAGAGTAGAAACAAAAGCAAGAGCTTCAGTGGAACGAAAAGCTGGGCTTTCTAAACTTTGAATGAAGTCGTGCTTAAGCGAAACATCTCATAAGGGCTAAGAAGTAGGTCGTTCAGCAGTCCACTCCATTCCATTGTTGTCGGAACTCGATAAGCTCCGAAAATGCTTTGACTTTAACAATAAGCTAAGTCGCCGACGATAAATCCAAAAGGACCAAGCATCATTCAAGACATTACCGAAATAGAGGGGTTAAAGCAGTAAAGAAATACTTTTTGCGAAAAGGAACTATATTTATATAACATTTGGACCAATATGCAAAAATTCTTTGTCCGCAGTATTGCATGTGTTGAATGGATAACAATGACCCAAGGTAGATGATATTTCTCGGCATTAATTAATTACTTCCACAGAAAGAAATGAGTAGATTGGCTTAACGCTCAATTCGAACCTTAGGCCACGAAGATGTGAGGGCCGCCTAATCGTTAAGAACTACCAGCGTCCAGATGCTAACAATGAATTTTTGCGCTTACGCAACGTCCAAAGTCAACAAAGGAGTGGGCTTAGTCCTTCTCTAAAAACTATCCTGCTAGTAAAATCAGCATTCCATTGTTAATCTGCATTGATTACTTGCTCATTTCGTTCACACACGAAAGCGGAAGGAACGTATGCTGTCGGCAGTCACGCGGAGAACCGAAAAACCTAGTCAATCAGTGCATGAGGTAGGTCTGCTCGCGAATTATTCCGATTCTTTGAAAATAAAGGGGTTAATCATTCCCTTAAAGAGAGTGGGACGTGTTCGAGTGTTGAACTTAAGTGGGACTGCGACAGTGTCAGAACAATGGCTTGGTAGACAATTGAAGCATTGAAGTGTCGCAATTGTCTTCTGCTACGGTTTCCTAGTTTGATTAATCATCAACAAAACTATTACGAGCCACTTCACCACGAAATGAAAGACGCTAAAGCTATAGTATGTGGAAATTGAAAGTCTTCGTATAAAATTATTGCAATTCAAAACGTTCACTTCATAGATTTTCTAATGCTCTATGTAGTTTATGTAGATTTGGACTCCTCAGATCAATCCCGTTGAAAGGTGATTGCTGATGACAATCGATAGAACTAGCTGAGAGATAGGCGAAACGAGGGACCCGTATGGTGTGGTGGTGAACGCGTTACTTCCCGGAAAGGGTAATAGCGCGTTCGTTCCCCACCGCAGACACCTTCGGTCCGGAGTCTTGCAAATATCTCAGCAACATTGTGGTTGTACTTCGCTTAGTACCCTGCCGTGAAAACTGTAGCAGGCAGAAAATAAAAAGGCTGAGACTGCTCTATGTAGCTTTGAAAGAGTACGACTCGAAAAGGTTCAGAAGAAAGGGAAAACAAGGAGAAGAGAAGTAAAGCTAATTTCTATAATAGTTTAATTTTTTAAAGAAGGAATTGAACTGTACGAAACGGTACTGAGTTTCCAACTCGGGAAAGCACAACGTTTTTTCATGAATTCTACTATGTCTCAGCATAACCAATAGCTCAGCGCCCCACGATAATATTTTAAGAATAAATGTCCAATCCATTTTCATATAACAGGATGAAGGAAAGGCTTACTAGCTATGCCCTCAGTAATTCAAGGATAGGTTTCAGAGTAATATGGTTCTACTATTTGGAGTAAATTTAATACTCACGGTTTTGAGAGCAAAATCGGGATGAAAAGGAAGAATCGGAAAAATTGGACATCAATTAGAGTAGCAGAAAACAGACCAAGGATACTCCGGCCCTAAGTTGATTTGTCGCCAACGGATATCACGGAGGCACTGATGATGATGTAACGATAGGAAAGTAAGCATTTCTCATTCTATATTAACTAGAGCAATTCTAGGTAGAGAAGATGATTCTGAGCCCAAATAGCAACATTGTC